ACTCCATGGTATACATATACCACATTTTATTAATCCACTCATGTATTGATGGGCACTTGGGTTGTTTCCACATCTTTGCAATTGTGAATTGTGCTGTTATAAACATTCGAAAACTAACTCTTAAATGCTTCTGGGTGTCAAGTTTCATGTCATATATGTAAATGAGGATTTCCAATAGAAAACTGAGGATCAAATTTTGTAGCAAAGGTGAGAGATCATGATCAAAACTACAATTCTGAATTCATTTACATAATGACCATAGGTTTAGCAATGAAGGTAATTTATGTTTTCAAAGAAATGGGCACAAACTTGGAATAAAGATCCAAGGCCTGAAACTTTAAGAAGCCCATAGTAAGGAAAAAAGGTCAGGAAAGAAAGACTGATTAAAGCAGGAAAATGAGAACCAAAAGAATAGAGTGTTAAAAAGAAAAAATCAGGTAGTATTCACTGATGACTAAGAAGAAAACATGTTATTATAGATCATTTCTTAGGTATGTTTAAAGACAGGAGGAATAGTATCAGTGGACTCAAAAAGTACCACAGAGAAGAAATGATAGTGAGAGTAGGATTCTTGATGAGAGTGAAAGCATCTAAGAATAGATAAAGAAGTTACAGTAAGTGATTCTTATGCCCCCTCTAGTGAAACATCCTAGAATACACAGAAGATAATTCTCATAAAGAAAATTAGGCTTATCACAATAAGGACCAGGGAAGAAGGGAAAAAATGTTATCAATCTAGGGCTGAAAGTCCAGGCAGTAAATTGTTTTAAAAAGTTAACCTTATATTAAATACAAATAAAAACATGATACAAAATCATACATTTCTATAGTATGGTTGCAAATGTGTAAAAACATATTTAAAAATGGAAGAGTAAATGACAAATGTTAAGAGATTTTGAATTTTTAAAAAAAACTTTTCTATAATTCCTAACTTTAATACTAGTAAAATATCTTTTCTTTTTTTTTGAGAGAGAGACTCGCTCTGTTTCCCTGGCTAGAGTGCCTAGCTCACAGCAACCTCAAACTCCTGGGCTCAAGCAATTTAGTTTTACCATAATCTAAATTTCAGTAGAACAAATCATTAATTTAGTCTTAAGTAAGCAATTGTTAAATTTACTAACAATGATAGGAAATTACCAGTTGGTTTGAAATTAACATCTTCATCCATCTTTATTAAGTCCAGGGATGATAAATCATTCAGATTCTTCAAACATAATTCTGTTCAATTATAGAAATCACATTTTAGTTTTAGTAGAATAGGAAAGCAAGGCAAAATAAAATTTATTATTAAACATGCTAAAGTTGTGTTACTGTGTAATTGTTCTGAAAAGAACCACAATCCCTAGGTAAGTAGTAAGAAAAACCTCATTTAAACAAGAGCCAACTAATATGCTAAAAAGGTTTTTTAATAGTAACAATAATGCAAATAATAAAAATAACATTTAATATGTGATGAAATAACATTTACAACTTTGAACATTTTAAACGATATACATGTATTACCCCATTTAATCCTCAAAATAATACAATAAGGTAGGTATTAACATTATTTTCATATACAGATTAGGAAACTAAGTAACCTGCTCCAGGTCTGTCCTCCATTATGGCAGTGGTTGTCTTTTTCTTTAAACTTCTATCAAAGATATATATGTACAAAGTATAAAGAATTAAAGTTCTACAAAGATTATTTCAAAAACCACCAGTCTTTTCTTTGTTCCCTGTTTGCCACTTTCTTGAGGCAGCAACTTAAAACTGTTTTAGCTGATGCTTTCAGTATTTACTTTCATTTCTCTGAATATGCTACCTGGAAGGAACCTCCAAATAGGAAGCAACACTAGTTCATACTCACTAACTGACCAGGATCAGAGCAATTACAGTAATCTGCTGCTTGGTAGTTCTCTCTCTGCCCCATGCTACAGCCCAGAAGATGAAAGGTAGTTCAGAGCAGACAATGGGATTATCACAACCTGTTCAATCCTAAATAGGGTAGTGGCTCACAAAAAAGTCATTAGAAGGCAAGGTTCTTTGGGAAATACTTCAGTTTAAGCAACATTATTTATGCAGCTTGATAGTTTTAAGTGTTTGGTTAAGTAAAGCTTTTGAAGTCTTTTCTATTAATAATTTTCTTCTTATCCACAATTCATTTTCCACTATTCAGTCAGTCAATTTGTCAGTGAAGAATGCTTACTACACTATATGCTGAGCACTATTCTAAGCTCTAGGTTTACAGCAGTGAACAAGACAAGGTTTCTCTTCTATAGAATTTATATATTACTGAAGAAAGCAATCAATATACAAAGAAATAATAAATATTAAAGTTCAGGTATTGAAAGGTACTATGAAGAAAAATAAAGCTGAGGAAATACCTAGAAAATGATGGAGTAGAGTTTTCTAAGCTTTTAACTAAAGCTTTTATGTATTTCTGTATATGCTATATAATTTCTGATCTAGAATAAGGATACAGTCACCCTAATTTTCAAAATAAACATCATCTTTTCCAAGAACAAGAAAAACAATAACAACATCATGGAAATAATTTGTCTTCCTCTCAGTAAAGGTGGGATATAAGATAGTACAGGAAGACCTCTCTAAAAAGTCAATATTTGAACAGAGACCTGTATGAAATGAAGGTGCATATCATGTGAGAAGTGTTCCAAAAATAAAGAACAGAGAGTTCAAAGAACCTGATGTTCTTTGAAGCAAGTATGGCATGTTTAAGGAACAACAAGGCAGCCAATTTGGTGAGAGTAGAATAAAAGTGGTAAAAACTGACAAGAGATGAAGTCAGAGAAATAGGCAGGAAAATATCAAGTTGGACTTCGTAGGCTCTGGTGAAAGTTTGCATTTTATTCTAAGAGCAATGGAGGAGCTATTAGAGGATATTGAGCAAGAAAGTATAACCAAGTTTAGGGAACAGTATATACTATGCTAAGGACCCTGCCTGGGGGATTTAAGGCAGACCTCCAAGGATAGTGGTAGGGCTCATAAAATGCTAACCCAAAGTACTTTAAACTAAAGGAGACTGGGAGGGCCTCAGAAACAAGGTCATTCTGACCTTCACCTGCCTTTCTGTGTGAAGCATAGTCATAAAGGAATTCTCAGCCGGGCGCGGTGGCTCACGCCTGTAATCCTAGCACTCTGGGAGGCCGAGGTGGGTGGATCGCTCAAGGTCAGGAGTTTGAGACCAGCCTGAGCAAGAGTGAGACCCCCATCTCTACTAAAAATAGAAAGAAATTA